ATTCTTGGAGAAATCCATGAATCTTTATGCCTACTGGTATTTCAAAATACAGAAATCACTATAATATTTTATTACATGCTAAATCAGTCCACCAAGTAACACACAGGGAAATATTTCATCTGAATATTTTATTAGAATTTATCAGAATAAGATAAACAAGTGTCTCTCATTTCCTTGAGCTTACTGAGGAGCTAATGCCCTGAGAGTAATCCTTCACTGGTGCCATTTAATTATAAAAGTGAATTCTGCCCTGCCATATGGATTGGCTTTTTTCTAAGAAAACAAATGAATTCCCAAGAAGGTTTTAGATTGCAATAGAACTCATTTATTTTTATCTGCCAGGTCACATACAATATTAAGAACAATGCCTGGGGCAAATTTTAAAGATACAGTTTCATGGGAGCATGGATTGCATGATTAATATGAAGGCACATATTAGTATTGGAGTGGCACCATTCACAGATTTCTGCTGATGGTGCAAGGAAACTGAAACAAGGCTACAAGACTCCAGCTTAATCAACTCAATACCTATAGGAGAATTGGATGTTTTGCAGAACAAAAAAAAATATCAACCAGCTATAACCTTCTCACAAGGAGTGGAAGGCAACCTGCTGAAGGTGAGAGCAGGGATAGGGGGACAAATAGAATTGAAAACCATCTATTTTTGTACAGCAACAGAATGCCCACAGACATCAGAAGACCACCTTTATTTCCCAAACTGGACAAGCACGACTAATCTTAGCAATATAGGACAAATTTCCCAGTTATTGCCTGCTACTGTGAATACTACAGAATAAAGTCATTTGCATATTTTTAGAGACCTCTATATGAAAATGATTTCTGTTCTTATTTTGTTTGCCTCAACAAAATGTGGCAAAAATAATTGTTTCTTGACTAAATTACTCAAGGCCAACTTAAACTCTGGTTTTCTGTCAGCATTGCTGTTCCATTTGTACTACTATATCCTTTTCTAGATACAGATGGATTTATGGGCAGGTGCTATGCACATGCTCAGCCCTTGTTATTCTCCACTACAATTCCAACCCTCTTCTCATCTGCTTTCAGCAGTCCTTCTTACATTTTTAACTAATTTAATCAAACCTTGTTCAAGCATATATAAACAGAACAGTACACACAAGCACAATTTAAAGTCTCTGCAAAGAGATCAAAATTTCTCTATCACTCTGGGAGACACCTTTTGGGGTATCATCTGATCATATCTTTCTTTCCACATAGCTGCATGACATTGGCAACTCCCAACAGGAATGCAGTCTGGATCCCAGTTGGGATCTTTGCTACTATTCTCAATAAGACAAATCATAAATATCTTTAGAGGCTGTAGAACTTAATAAATGAAAAAGAGTCACCTGCTGTGAGTATCAGTAATGGAAAAAGGATTTTAAAATTTCGAATAGTGTCAAACTTTCACAATAGTATTTTGTTTGATTTCTAAGACAGAGCAATTTGGGAAGACTTCATTAAATCCATTAAGGTGGAAAAAATCAATTATGAACATAAGATGAGCCACAGTTTCTGACTGTGAAAAATCATTCCTCTAGTTTAGAACACCACCAACTTACTAAAGCAGAATCATGAAGGTGCAAGGTGGTGGGCTGACCCTGGTTGAAGACCAGGTTCTCATCAAATCTACTCTATCACTCCCCTCCTCAACTGAGAAGGAAAAGAAAATATAACAAAAGCTTCATGAGTAAAGATGACAGGGAGAGATCACTCATTGAGTACATTCAGGGGCAAAATAGAAACAACTTAGAGAAATTAACTAAATTTATTACCAATCAAGATCAGAGTAGAATAAGAGAAGTAAAGGAAATCTTAAAAACACCTTCCACCTATTCCTCCCTCCTTCCCAGGCTTAACTTTATTCCTGACTCTTTACCTGCTCCCTGCCAGGGGCACAGAGGGACAGAGGAATGGGGGTTATGGTCAGTCCATCACATGTTATTCTGTCATTATTCCATCTCAGGAAGAGGAGTCTTTCCCCTGCTCCAGCATGGGATCCCGTCCCATGGAAGACAGCCCTCCAGGGACTTCTCCAACATGGATCCTTCCCACAGGCTGCATCTCCCCACAGATTGCTCCACAGGGTGCACTCCTTCAAGAAAAAACTTCTGGTTCCCCCACATGGTCACAAGTCCTGCCAGCAAATCTGCTCCAGTGTGGCCTCCTCTCTCCATGGAGCCACAGGTCTTGCCAGGGTGAGCTTCCCAAGGGGTTGCAGCCTCCCTTGGGCATCCCCCTGCTCCAGTACAGGTCTCCTCCACGGGCTGCAGGTGGATCTCTGCATACCCATGGATCTCCACAGGCTGCAGGGACACAGCTGCTTCACCATGCTCTGCACCCCAGGCTGCAGAGGAATTTGAGCTCCAGCATCTGGAGCACCTCCTCCCCTATCTTTTCCATTGGCCATGGTGACTGCAAGGCTGTTTCTCTCACATTTGTTTCACTCCTTTCTTCTGTGGGCATAATTATTTGTGCTCAATAACTTTTCTACCTTCTTAAATATTTTATCACAGAGACATCACCATTGCTGATGGCCTTGACCTGCAGCACATCTGTCTTGCAGCCAGCTGGCATTGGCTCTGCCAGACATGGGGGAGGCTCCCAGCAGCTTCTCACAGAAGCCACCCCTGTAGCCCCCTTCCACACCAGAGGCTCGCCATGCAAACCCAGTATATCTCTTCTTGTGTGGATGCTGGACAAGTAAATAATAATGTAAGTACTTCTCTTGGCAGTGTATAGAGTAATATAAGTTTTATTTGTAACTATTTCATGTGCCCCATTGCCCATTTTCTGTCTCTACCAGTGACTGGGTAGCAAAGAGAAGTCCATGCTAGAAGGCTACAAATTATCATTTTCACAAGTGAACCGGAACTTTTTGTTGTTCAGATCTTACTGAAATCACATTACACATGGTCAGTAGTTTTTCAGTACTGAAGTGTTAGTACAAGGAGACAATAATAATAAAAAAAAATATTCAAAGAGAAATAACTACATATCAAAAGATACTTCATCAGGAAGAATGAATAATCAGTGAATTAACAGAATTAAATTCTCTTTGCTGTCTTTACAAGAGCACAGTTGTTGCTTATGACAGAAAACAAATTCTTCAAACGGCTGTTTGAATATGTGAATCCAGTGCGGCAGATGTTCAAGAAACTTGTATTAAAATATTGTCCACAGGCCATAGCACAAGTATGGTAATATTAATGCTCTGTTCAGATGGCTATCAGTGAAAGGTAAAACAGTACATTAAGGGGAAAAAGGCATCAACAAGGCCGGTTGAGACTATGAAAGGCTGCAAAAACCATTCCTGCAAATAAAGATAAAACTTGACATGATATTCACAGTGAATGGACTCATTCTGCCTGCAGTGGGGACTATATGCAAAAGATAAGTAATCAGAAATGACAGCCAACTATACTGAAATGTGTAAAACAAAATTGCTGTTGTAATTTTAATAATCCTGAACTTTTATTTTTTAAATTTTAGTCAGAACAAGAGATATAAAGCTCTGAACCATCATTAACTTATAGGAAAAAGAAATCTTTTGATGTATGGGATATTTTGCAAAAAGCTGATTTTTTTTTTTAGTCACTGCTTATTCAACAAAATAATCCAAAGCTTTTCCCATAGTGACTCAAAAGGCTTCATCAAAAGCACTAGTTTAAATGATCTTATTTTTTGCTCAGATTTGGACTCTAGATTAACAGTATGGAGAATAAAATAAGAGAGGAAGGAAGGAAAAGTTTGTTGTGCTTTTTTTTGTTTTTGTTTTGTTTTGTTTGTTTTTGTTTTTTGGGGTTTTTTTGGTTGGTTGGTTGGTTGGTTGGTTTTTGGGTTTTTTTTTTTGTTTTGGTTTGGTTTGGTTTGGTTTTGGGGGCTTTTTTTTACAACTATTGGGATATCTGTACAGAGTGCATTGAGCCAACACATATTTCCATGGATCTGGGGCCTGGGGAGAGGTTCAGACAACTTATGGTGACAGTCCTTATAGAGTAGCAGCAGTTGATAACCTCACACTAAGTTTTATTTGGTAGCTTAAAGAATTGAAAAATTAATGTCAAGGCACAGAATACCCCATTTAATGTGGGCCAAAAATAAATAAATGTATGTACACACACACCTATTTCCAACTGAGAAAGTTTTTCCCAGTAGATAAACAACTTCCACGGACCCATGGAAAATATTTTTCTTGAAGTGCATTTCATGACTCTGCATTTTGAACCTCATTTTCAGCTAAGAAGCAAACTTGGAAACAGAAATGCTAAACCTAAAAGATAAGTGAGCTGACTAGAACTTTGTTAAATCAAAAGTAAAGTATATTCAGAAGGCAAGTGTGAATAATAAGTTTAGATGGTTAGATTTTGTTTGCCAACTAAGATGTTTTACTACACCTCATATGCTAAGAGGAAAAAAAAATAGTTCTCAAGGACTGTCACTGCTTCAATGCTGACATCTAAGACAGAGTCACTGTTGATCACAGCCTGCAGAGTGCTCTCCCATCCTACTGTGCAAACAGTGACTATCACCAACTTTACCACTAATTCCACACTCTTTAATAGATGCTCCTGGCATTGTAGTGAATAATTATTAGAAACATCCCAACACAAAGAGCCACGGCCACATTGTGCAGCCAAATTTGGAATCATCCTAAACTTCACGCAGGGCCAACTTTTGTCACGTTGCCACACAGCACCTGCTTGTTCTACCATATGCACACAAAGATTGTGTACTTCAGGACAGTCCTCTTAAAAATTAGAATAGTGTAAGCTATTATAAAACCTAGATACCAGGCAGGCAGTCCATCTTGTAACTCTGGTCAGGGATAAGAGAAATAAACATACATAACATTAATTTTAGTGGGTCTAGAAGGCAGGGGAGTCACACAAGAGCACACTAATATTGGAATCTGGCTAAATAATGCTTATCATCAAAGAACAAAATCCAGCCTGGTGCAAAAAAGAAAAAAGATTTCTCACCTTGCTCCAGCAATAAGCTCTTTTTGTCCTGGGTCAAATGTTAACTGTGAGAAGTCCACGGCATCTTCTGCTTTGAACACGTGTAGCCAAGGGGCAATTTCTAAAAACAATCAAGAAATACAACTTTTACTATAAATGTTATAGCTGTAGTACATCAAGTAGCCACCATTAAATCTACAGATATTTCGTGTGGGTCTGCAAGTTTTCTCCTTATGGTCCTCTAAGGAAACATAGGAGACTTTCACCACTATGCCATTTAATTTATAATAGAGGCCTGTAAAATACAGGGCAGCCACCTGATACACACTTGAATCAAGTATCCATATTTTGTTCTGAATTGTTTTTACTCCTTGGGTAAAGAAGAAAACACCACAGTACAACTGCAATTCACTGACACATACTCAAGCAAAGTTAGATTAAATTTCCATGCATCAAAAGCAGCTGAGGACTAGAGGTTGTTTGCTTTTTTTTAGTTTGCAATTGAGTTCTTTATTTTCTTTACAAAAGGATCTGATTAAGTGAAAAGAAATGAGGAAAACAAACAAATTTTACTTTTCATCATTTTCACAATAAAAAGGTTGAGAAATGAGGGATGAAAAAGGAAAAATGCTTGACATCCTTTGAACTCTTTTTTTTTTCACCTTCCTTTCTCAGACCAATTAAGCATTAAGCACATTACATTAGATACACATTAAATACATTAAGCAGGGCAGACAAGCATGTGAGTTGCTGAAAATCAGCAAGGGGCGTTACTTGTATTCAGAATACAAACTTGTTTCTACTTTCAAATTTAAGCACACATAAATAGTTGTAAATCAAATCCTTAAATATTTTCATTACTAGTAGTTCTTTTTTTCATTCATATCACTAACTGGACACTCAACAGTTTGGTTAAATAGACACCATATTGTGGGAACAGGGCATAATTTTTTTTTTAATTTTTACTTTTTTTAAATAGATGCATAGAGTATATAAAATTTCTGTTACAATAGAAATCATTGAAATGGCACCCTAAAAAAACCAGTCCTGTTGTACAAAAACCTCATCCTCTAGAATTCCTCAATTCTCAAGACAATGCCTGAAACTTTTTTTTTTTTAATGTAGTCACAAGGCAGAGGTCTGGAACTTATGTGAAAGGTGAGGAGGGCTGTATATGTAGGGCACAATGGGCTGTGGGACTGTCTGAAGTTTACAGGTGTGAAAGAGTCGCTTGAAAGACCAAAGGCGAGCCCAGGGTCATGAACATTTAGAACAGGGAGTCAAAACCAACCCCCCCTGAGGGTGCTGCAGAAGTACAGTTTTTGATACTGGTATCATTAGTTGCAGCTCAGGTTAACAGCATTCATTCTAAGCTCTCTTCTTCACTCATGAGAATATTTTTGCTTTTGCAAATGTCTCAGTTGAAATAATCCATGTCTGGTGCCTGTTTCAGGATGATTTGCTCCTAATTTAAAGTTTTAGCACAAGTGGGCTATCCATTCCTAAGGAATGGGCCCAGGAGAAAAATGTTATTCTGTGTCAAAACGTGCTCAGCCATTGCAGACAACAATTAAATGCAGTGTGCAGAAGCTGTATCATCATATGCTTTGGAAAAACAGATGGAACTGTGAAGTAGAATCACTTGGGTGTCAGAAAAGTAACTTCTGCATTTTTAATGTCAGCCTGTATGCATCTGGGCAATTTCAGGCTCGCAATGCCAGTTTGTACACGTTCTGCAGTACTTGTGGCTAAATTCACTCTTGATTTCCATCTCCATTGGATGGGTGCTCAAAGCAGGATTCAAACACTGGGGTGGAAAGGGGAAGTGGCCACATATTAGATAACTGTGATTACAGTGCCATCAGCCATTACTGCAGATACTGTGCAGAGAACCCAGCAGGATTCTGAGGGAGGAAAAACACTTATACATTACAGGCCTTTACAGCCATGTACGTACTTACATACCTATTTTTATTTAAATAAATATATATAAGGCTACACAGGCAAGCATAAAAGAGGCGTTTCTTAAATTTTCTGTACTTGATTTTGCGGTCTTAACTTTTCAATCATGCATTTACTATAAAACAATCAATTTCCAAGTTCTAAAAAGTTAAGAAATTAGGTAGGACATGAAGATGAGGAAATCCAGAGGTAAATCATGAAGAATCTCACTTACTGGCGAAAGAAGGAAAAAAAAAAAGAACAAAACAAAAATAAAGACAGACCCACTGTGGAAACATCAGTCTCTGAAAGAGAGGCAAGGTAAGCAGCCAAGAATGGAATTACCTCAGCTCTATATTGGTAGAACAAGTGAGATCCTTGGTCTTCTAAAAGAAAAGGAGAGGAGTGGCTCCCTACAGCATGGGGGGGCAGGGACAGCTCAGTACACAGAATTATTGCAGTGACAGAAGGCTACAGGGGAGACTGAGATTCAAAGACTCAATTCTCTTCCACTTGTCCTGCTGTCTCAGCAAGACACAATAAAGCTTCAAGGTACAGCAAGCAGGTGATTGAGACCACTTCCAGGTTTGGAGCAAGGGAGCAGGGGCCAGGCAGGGCAAGGCAAGCGCAGGCTAGAGAACAAGAATGAGGACTTGCTAAGAAATGGCTCTGAAATCCGATTCCCCTCCAAAATATAAATTATTTTATCCTGTCTTTGTTGCATTCGGCAGCACACTTGCTTGAGGGAATAAGGTCAGGAAGAGCAAATGGCTGCTAGAGCTGTACTTTTTTTTCAGAAAACACTCTGAAACTATCTCTTGTGTATCACAGTGGCAGCACAGGCCACACAGAAATAAGTATTTATGAGATAAAGCTATAACTTCATGACACTTTTGTAAGGGGAAATGAACAAAAAAACAGCGCCTAAAAAGAATGAGGCAATCCAACCCCATGTACACTGAAAAAATAAAAGCTTATGTAACTAATTAACAGAATAATTAAATTTCTTTTCACCAAGTGAAATCTAGCTGAAAACCCATAGGTGAAGAGTTTTTAGTTTTCCTAATAATTAACTCCTTAGAGTCAAAAAATCATAATTAGCTACTAAAGGCATATAAATTATTTTTCTGTCAATTAAAATATAATGGTAAAGTAGTAAGAAGTAATAATTTAAATTTATTAATGGTTTTCATGCAGATGCAACACAACAAGCTCTACATAATAACATAGCTGTACATTTTGTGTGCCACAACAATACCATAAATAAATGTGTAAGGCAATTAAGTTGCCCTGCCAGCTAATAGTGTTGCTTGCTGATCACAGGTGACAAACAGCAATGTCCCTACCCTTTCCAATCCTGACCCTCCTTCCTGGCATTCCTCTCCCTTCCCTCTGCCCTCATTTCATGTGAATTACAGTAAAACACCAAGCCCTTTGTTGACTTCCCTCTTCTTACTCCTGATACCGAGGACACTTATTGAAACACACCTTCAGCCTGGAGTAGCTTTTCCTTTAAAGCTCAGCAGGCAGGTTTGCCATTCTGCAGACAAAGCTGCCCAGGGAAAACTATCATGGTACACGGACATTCGTGACAGCACGTCACTGCCAACACACACTGAGTCCTTTTGGTACATTCAAGACATACTTAACCTTAGCAACAACAAACACAAGAAATTTTCATTGCTATTATAGGACGAAATCTGCAGGCGTTATAACTCAAAAATGTTCCCCCCAAAAAAACACTTTCTCATGGAACTAAAAAATGGATGTTGAAAAAAAAGTCTTTCTGAGAAGGCTACAGCTCTCTTTCACACGCCAGGAATCAGATGTTATGGGTTTTCCTGGGGGGTTCCGGTTTTGGGAGGGAGGGTTAATAGCTTAGATTTAATATAAAACAAAGTTTGTCGTGGTTCATAAATCTACAGCAAAGCAAACACACCAGATTCCACTCAGCTCCTAGGAAAGGTCAAGGAATTCTGTTAAAGAGGTTTAAAGACACAGGAGGTTAAAAATCAAAGCTGGGCAGAAGGACATTAGATACTCACATTAAAAAAAAAAAAAAAAAAAAAAAAAACAAACCAGAAACCTGTCTCTGTTTAACTTTAAATTTAGCATCTGCCCAACAGGCCATTACATGTTTGGTTTACATTGTCCAAGCACTTGCCAAGGGTTGAGCTCTACAGTTCATTGTAAATGAAATTGTAAGGTTCCCTGTAACCTAAGTTTCATTATTCAGTACTTCAAAGTAGAGCTACAGTAAACAGTAGAATAAATTGAGAAATTACTTACAAGGAATAGAATAGTATATTTAGAACTAAATTCAGAAGTGATCTTTAGTAATAACCCGACTTGGCAAATAAGAAAGTCAAAAGACAATAAAGACCTCCTGATTTCAAAATTAACATAGATATTAAAAGTTTCAGTAGTTTATGGTATATGTATGTGACACCTCATGCCATGGGGTCCTTTTTGAAAATAGTGAGCACAAAGTTAAACGTGCACAGCAGCACCTTGAAGAAACTCTGTTAGCAAAATAACAACAATAGCAATAATAATAATACCACAACAATATCATCACAATAACAGCAACAACAACAATAACACCATAGTTGAGAACTAGCAGATTTGCAATATTAACAGAAGTCTCTGGGTGGCATCAGTACGACAAACTCACTAATCTCATCAGGAGAAAATTAAAATATATTTCTGCATGCTAAAGCTATTTTATAATTAAATGTATCTAATCTAAGGATGATACAATAACTCCATCTTCCTGAAGCTGTGGAATAATTTTAGCCTTAGATCTCTTCCTGTGACACTCGAGTTACACTACTATCCTCTTCAAAGGCAGAGAGACATGTCAGAGGTGTCTCCAGGGATGTGCCACGCTGACTCCATTGCATCACCCCCGTGCCCTGGTGACAGTCCCATTAACCCCAGGGGAATCTATTAAGCAAGGTGTCAGGGCTGGCAAGAGGAGATCCACCTGTTCACTCATTCAGCATGTCCTGTCTGGGGATTTATCTGCAACATTTGCACTTGAAGGACACAGCTAGGAGCACTTGTAAACTCTCTGCTGTGACACTTTGGGACCCCACAGTCTCTAAACATCTTAAAACTAGAACTGAGGAAAACAAGATTTTCTCCAGCAGTTTCTGTGCATCACTGGTATCGATTCAG